TTTATCAATGTTCAATCGGAGGCCATAGCTGCAAAATGTAATCAATGTTTTTTTTTTAAAAAAAAATTTGGCATAAATCAAGTCATAACTTCTCAATTTTGTTGATTTTTCTACATGGTATTAAATTTTTTTTTATGGGAAATAGAGAAATATATTAAGTAATAAAAATTATAATAGAATCTCCATCTTATGGTATATAGCCAAAAACAAAATAGTTTAAAGACAAAATCAGAAGCATAACCTACGCATTAGTAACAGATTTAAACTATAACCATGACGAATGTAAACAATTAAGCAAAGAGAGCCATCTGTAACTAGATATTGAAATTACAATCGTTGCATGGGCTAAATAGGGCTACTAATGTAGAAAAAGGAGTCACTATAAGCATTGAAAACTACTGAACATTCTCACCTATTTAACTAGTCTCTTGGGGAGAGCAAGGGATTTTGGCAACAAATAATTCCCAACCCACAAGTTGCCGCCCTACTTGTTCTTAAAGAAGAACAAACAAAAGGGGCCTTCTCCAAACAAACACAAGACCCCTCAGTTGCCTCCATATACACCCAATCATGTTCCCATCATTGCCGATCCTCTTCAAACCCATGTTGTCGAAACTCAATAAGGGAATTAGAGCCCTTTTGTCGACTTGAATAGCTGGCTTCCCACATAAACCATGGTCGGCTTTACCAATAGCATCCCTGTCCTTCTGCAATTGGCTAACTGATCAGAAATGAGTGTGAACCAGTTTCACCAAATTCGACCCCCGCCAAGATCCTATCCGAGGAGATGCGCTAAAGTGAGATTCTTGCCCATTAAATAGGAAAAACCCACTTTACCCACAATATCAATTCCAATCGTAGTCTTCGAAAATGAACAGATATAAACCCTAGAAAGTCCAAATATGCCATTGCCTTGTGGTCCCTTGGATTGGAGTTTCCAAAGCAAGACAGCGACAAGATGAAAGAGGAGATCAAGAGGAGGAAAGGAGGGGTAAGAAGAAAAGAGGGACGAAGGAACTCCTATATCGGAGAGAAACCCTAGGGAGGAAAGCCCGCCGTCATTGCTTTCAACCCTAGAAACAATGCACGGGAGAAACTACACGATATCAATTTTAAAGTCAAGCCAACCACTGAAAACAAAATTAGAGATGAAGGACCCTGGATATTTTCCAATTGCTTGATTTTTCTATGTGATTTCTTTACACAATTTAAAAGTTAAAATCACTAAATTCCCAAGAAAATCTACAAACTTAGCACATTTAAGTCCCAACCAAAAATGGGCTAAAATCCAGCCCTTATGTACAAACCACTCAATAAGGGCCCATCTATCCTAACTGGCCCATTACATCCCCTCATCTTGCCCTCAGGCTTTCAAGAAGTTGTTAACTGCTACAAACTCCGAAATTGCAGCCAGCCCAACGTTGGTGCTTCATTCATGCACTTCTCGCACTTTGTCCCCTCTTTGGTTAGTTTCTACGTGCAATCCTCCACCACCAACAACAATATGAAGATCTAGTCTATGACTTCCTCCTGCCACCTTCATCCTTCACCATCTCCTCCATTTCTTTCTCCGATCTCAACACCGAGGTACGCATATTCCGCCCCTCCCCAATCCTAATTATCTCATTTGAAAATTGAAATTCTTCCCTTCATCTTATTTTTCTTCCTTTTTTACAGTCTACATTTTCCTTTTCATGATAGAAGCACAACATTGGGTTGCCGTTGCCGAAAATGTAGAAAATCGCGCCAGTTTTGTGTTCATTAAGGACTTCGGGATCGACAACAATGACTCTACAATTTGGGAGATCAGGATCGCTTTCGAGAATCTTGAAGACTGCCTTGATTTTTTTCATGTGAGCTTTGTTTTAATCTTTTTTTTGTCTACTTTGAGTTTGCTTGCGGTTTTTAGGTTTTTTTTTTTTTTTTTGTCATTTCGTTTTGTTTGA